GGCAAAATTCCTCCCCATGACACCAAAGATGGGGCACAATTTCTCACAGTGACACCAACAGTGGGTTCCAATGACTGCAATGATGAGGCACAATTCCTCCCAATGACACCAACTTGGGGCACTATTCCTCCCACTGGCACCAAAGATGGGGCATTGTTTTATCCAACATCGGGACATTTTCTACTCCTAATGGCCACAGTCCGACCCCCCCTAAAGTCTGAAGGACAGTAAACTGGCCCGTTGTTTAGAAAGTTTGGAGACCTCTGGTCTATGAGGCAGTTAGTGAGATTTGCTAAGGCATTTGGTTCAGTACTTTTAATTCAGTGGAATTCAAACTTTCTATACAAAGGGCCAGTTTACCGTCCTTTAAACTTTAGGTAGGGCAACCTTTCACAAGTGGAAGCAGAAAACAGTGTGACGTCAATGAGAGTAAGCAATGACCCATTATTGATATTAGTGGGAGGAATAGTACCCCATCATTGGTGTCAGTGGGAGGAAGAGTTCCCCATCATTGGTACTGGTGGGAGGAATAGTGCCCCATCATTGGTGTCAGTGGGAGGAATAGTGCCCCATCATTGGTGTCAGTGGGAGGAATAGTGCCCCATCATTGGTATCAGTGGGGGAAATAGTGCCCCATCATTGGTGTCAGTGGGAGGAATAGTGCCCCATCATTAGTATCAGTGGGAGGAATAGTGCCCCATCATTGGTGTCAGTGGGAAGAATAGTGCCCCATCATTGGTGTCAGTGGGAAGAATAGTGCCCTATCATTGGTGTCAGTGAGAGGATTAGTACCCCATCATTGATATTGGTGGGAGGAATAGTGCCCCATTATTGGTATTACTGGGAGGAATAGTGCCCATGTGTTGGTGTCAGTGGGAGTAATAGTGCCCATGTGTTGGTGTCAGTGGGGTAGTCAGTTGGGTCAGTGGGAGTAATAGTGCCCATGTGTTGGTGTCAGTGGGGTAATAGTCAGTTGGGTCAAGGAACAGTGCCCTAACACTGGCGTCAGTGGAGGAATAGTGCCACATTGTTGATGTCAGTGGAAGGAATGGTGTCCAATCATTGGTATTAGTGGGAGGAAACTAGTTTACATGAATGAGTCCAGAGAGTAAAGATAAAAGATCATTCTCTGAATGATCTAAAGTTGAGCGGTTGGCCCCAGGGTCCTGTCTTGGAGCCAATGTTTTTACATTGTTTGTTAATGATATAGAGTTTAGAATCAAAAGCTCGATTTCAGTGTTTGCTGATGATACCAAATTATGCCAGGAAACAACTTCAGCACAGGATGTAGCACCATTATAGAAAGACCTTGACAAAATAGGGGGTTGGGCAGCTACATGGCAGATGAGGTTCAATATTGAGAAATGTAAAAGGTATACACTCAGGGGCCAAAATCGCACATCAGGAGGAGTTCTCTCCTGGGGAGAATCGCTGATGAAAAAGGATCTGGGGGTGCTTGTGGATCACAGACTTGGCAATAGAATTCAATGGGCAATATACAGTATATCAGAGATGAATCAATGTTTATAAACCCTTTACCATGCACCGGCTCACGCTCATCTTGAATATGAAGTTCAGTATTGGTCACCAGAAAGAGTTCAGCGAAAGGAAACAAAATGAATAAGGGGGATGAAGAATCTCAACTATAAGGTCCTCTCTGGAGAAAAGGAGTTTAGGACGGGATATATATGCAATGTACAAATATAACAAAGGTGACTCCAGTAACTGTAATACTCTGTGAACTCTAAGGTCCCTGAAGAGGACACGCAGCCACGATTTGGGGTTATAAGAAAGGAGGTTTAACCCCAAATTAAGGAAAGGATTCTTCATTGTCAGAGCAGTAAAATTGTAAAAAAAACCCAAAAAACATCTGACCTCTGTGATTGCCAACAAGGGATTTGCCACCAAGTACTAAGTCATGTTTTGTGAAGGGGATCAAATACTTATTTCCCTCATGAACATGAAAATCAGTACATCATTTGTTAGACATGCATTTCTTTTGAATTTTGTGTTGCTATTCTGTCTCTCAGTGTTACAATACACCATTCGTTTTTTTTGACTGATCATTTCTTTGTGAGTGGGCAAACATTCAAAATCAGCAGAGGATCAAATACTTATTTCCTTCACTGTAGGTTGCCAGCTGTGCAATAAGTCCATCTGTGACATTTCCTGGCTACTAAATATTCCACGCTCAGATATTAGTGGGATTATAACAAAGTGGAAGAAACTGGGAACAACAGCAACTCAGCCACCAAGTGGTAGGTCACAAAAATGATAGAGCGGAGTCAGCGCATGCTGAAGTGCACAGTGTGCAGAAGTCACCATCTGTCTGCAGAGTCAATAGCTAAAGACCTCCAAACTTGGTGTGGCCTTCAGATTAGCACAACAGTGTGTAGAGAGCTTCATGGAATGGGTTTCCATGGCCGAGCAGCTGCATCCAAGCCTTACATCACCAAGTGCAATGCAAAGCGCCGGATGCAGTGGTGTAAAGCACGCCGCCACTGGACTCTAGAGCTGTGGAGACGCGTTCTCTGGAGTGACCAGTCACGCTTCTCTGGCAATCCAATGGACATATCTGGGTTTGGTGGTTGCCAGGAGACTGGTACTTGCCTGACTGCATTGTGCTAAGTGTAAAGTTTGGTGGAGGGGGGGGGGGGTGGGGGGGGGGGGGGGGGGTTATGATGTTGGGCTGTTTTTCAGGGGTTGGACTTGGCCCCCTAGTTCCAGTGATGGGAACTCTTAAGGCGTCAGCATACCAAGACATTTTGTACAATTTCATGCTCCCAGCTTTGTTTAGGGATGGCCCCTACCTGTTTCAACATGACTGCGCACCAGTGCACAAAGAAAGGTCCATAAAAAACATGGATGAGCCAGTTTGGGGTGGAGGAACTTGACTGGCCTGCAGAGTTCTGACCTCAACCTGATAGAACACCTTTAGGATGAATTAGAGTGGAGACTGCGAGCCAGGCCTCCTCCCCCGACATCAGTGCCTGACCTCACAAATGTGCTTCTGGAAGAATGGTCCAACCTTCCCATAGACACCCTCCTAAACCTTGTGGACGGCCTTCCCAGAAGAGTTGAAGCTGTTATAGCTGCAAAGGGCGGGGCCAACTCAATATTGAACCCTACGGACTAAGACTGGGATGCCATTAAAGTTTATGTGCGTATAGTGTATGTTCTTCTAATTTGGTACTTAGGATGGAATATACCAAATCTGCAACATTGTTTTCTCTACCACAGTCAATCTTTGTGTGGGAATAATGAAAAATAATGATTTTGCTTGGTAATGTGTTTAAAGAGTGCTTTAGATCAGTGTTGCCCAGTTGGGAGCACTGTATGGGTTTGCCTGGGTTGCTATGAGTATTGGAAGTTTATATGATTATGGGAAGTCCTGTGCTTTTTCTGTATTTGCACCCTCTAATGTGTTGCCATAGTATGTGCAGGCTGCCTGCCAGCACCATAGCAACCAATGGTGCTCTAGGGCCAGGACACACATCATCATTCATTGTTATTGTGCTGGTGGCCAGGCACACCATGGCAATGAATGACACTATTTCGGGATGAGCAGCATGCAGGGCAGCTCCCAGCATTCATCCGAGGACAGAAGCGTGCCTTCCTCTGCCTTCCACCCCATGATGCTGGAGCTGTAAGGTAGGGCTCTGATAGCAGAAGGGGACTCTGAGATGGGGTTAACTTTGATGTGAAGAGGGTACTCTGTGAACTCTGTGATGAGGGGGTTCTTTGGTGGGGAGAGGGCCACCAATTGGAGGGGGGGGGGGGGGGGGTATTAGCTGAGGCAGGCTGAAACTTGACTCTTCAATTGGTTGGGAGGCAAAGCAGGAAGGAACTGTCTGATCCCAAAAATTAGTATATAGTGTCCATTTCTATTTATGATGGGGTCCGGCTGCCCAGGGCACTTTTATTTGATTGCTTGGAGCCGTGACGGGTGCGATTACTATGCATGTGCAATAAGGTATTTAAACTCTCATCTCTATATGGGGTGGATTAGCCAGCATGGCTGCCATATGCATCAGAGTAGAAACATTGATGAGGAAGAAACTGTCAGGCAGACTGAATGGAGCCCCACATTTTCCAATGGCGGACTTGGTGCAGGGGGGACTCTGATGTGATAAGGGGACTCAGTGAAGGAGTGACTCTGATGGGAGGTTCTCATGTACAGAAAGTTCCACTGACGCATAGGGGGGACCTCTACTGTGATAGAGGGACCTATGATGTGATGGGGAGACCGATATGAAGTTAATTTCACCAAGGAGGTTGTGTGCATCATCTCAGGTTCAAGTTCACCATTGATAAATGACATTTCACACTGGGGTAACTTGAGACCTGCATACTTTTGAAGGGTGTTGCAACTGTAAAAAGGTTGCCTTAGACCAGGGGTTTCCAAACTTTCCAAATATAAGGCCAGAGTACTGTCCTTAAAACTTTGGGGGGCGGCCTGTAGCCAGTGGGAGAAGAAAGTGTCCTGGGTTCAGTAGAAGGAACAATGCCCCATCACTGGTATTAGGGGGACGAATAGTGTCCCATTGTCAGGGATCCGGGTATGACCAGAAATGTGTGGACAGGGAAGTAACAGGCTTCAGGAATGATATAATTACAATACAATTTATTATTAGCCACCCAAATATACAACGCACAGTAAACAAACCAACCTTCCACTAATCTTAGTATGTGCAGGAACACAGGCGTAGTCAGGGCTGGAGAGGTGGAATGGTCAGGCCGGCCATATGGTTCTGTTAATGACCATCTGGTGGTACCTCTAGCAGTCCTCAGGACAGGATTCCCCAGGGCACAGAGTCTAAGTCCCAGTCTGCTTATTCACCAGGGCCCCTGATGGTGGGGATGGACTTGGAGCAGACAGGAACCAGGTCGCGGCCCCTGAGTACACCTGCTCGTGGTAGAGGGATCCGCCAGAGGTATATACTGATGTGAAGAGGCAGAAGGTGTGAGCAGGGATGGCTGGATCCGTGCAGGATGGATGGATGGATCGTCTGGGTAGCGTAAGGCGTAGTCAGGCAGGCCAGGTCAGCAACGTGCGGGCAGCGAGGTACCGAAGGAGCAGGCAGAGAATGGTCAGGGTCACAAGCCGGGTTCAGTAACTCATGGGCAGCGCGGTACAGAGGATCAGGTAGAGAATGGTCAGGGTCACAAGCCGGGTTCAGTAACTCACGGGCAGCACGGTACAGAGGGTCAGGCAGAAGGATGGTCAGGGTCACAAGCCGGGTTCAGTAACTCACGGGCAGCACGTTACAGAGGGTCAGGCAAAGGATGGTCAGGGTCACAAGCCGGGTTCAGTAACTCACGGGCAGCACGGTACAGAGGGTCAGGCAGAAGGATGGTCAGGCAAGCCAGGGGTTAAACAGGAGATGGTCAGCAACAATGCAGAGGTCGGCAACAGAAGATAGGCAGAGGAACAGGAACACAGGATGCAGGTACAGGGGCTCATGGGAAACAACACCAAGGCACTGACTGCAGGCCTGGCCATTCCTTAAATACACCTCCTGCAATCAGCCTCAGGTGATGGTTTGATTGCAGAAGTGAGCTTCTGGCTGCTGAAAGCACCCGCTGGCCAGCCCTGGTACTGCAGCCCACATGGCAGGTGAGTCCCACCACCAGTGGTGAATCCATTCCTGACACCCATTGTTGGGTGTTGGTGAGTGGACCAGTGGCCCATTGTCCGTGTCAGGAATTATGCCTCACTGTTGCTGACAGTGGGGGGAATAATGCTTTAAGGGCTATATAAAATCAAAGAAAGGGCTGCATCCGGCCCCAGGGTGGCAGTGTGAAGACCACTGCCTTAGGCAATACAAGCAAACCAGACAGTTCTGAAGGTGTACGACCCAATCACTATAGCAATCAAAATTTGCCTCTTGGTTGACCATGGTTTGGTCCTGACCACAGAAATAACGCACAGTAGTAGAATAAAATTAGCACGCCTAAACGAAAGCAAAATAATAAGACCTCACAGTACTCTCAACAAAATATCTCAGCTCTTGCAGAACTTTCCTTCCAACCCTTCTTTCCATGAAGTGTCACCGGATCTATTTGCCTGTCATGGGAGACCAGTGAATCTTTCCAGATGTCCTATCGTTATGGTAGTGCTAGACACAACACGCCGCCAGCCTTTGGAATTCTGTAGGAAAAGCACGGAGTCAGGCAGAGACCGGTTTTAAAGTGTGCAGGATGACCGTGGGATCTCTCACAGATTCGGTTTTGCTTTCATTACCATCGCTTGTTCTACGGTTGTGAAGCACTGGAGCCTTGGCATGGACTCTCTGCCACTCCTGAGCTCGGCAACGCCATAGAAAGTTGTATGGAGTAAAGGGCTTACAATGAAACAAGGCAATTTACAAGCTCAGCATGTCCTGGATGGAATGCAGGAGAAAGGGTGCGACTAAAACTTGTGGATGTGTAAAGCTGAGCCGCTAAATACACAGATTAAAGCGGAATTCCAGCCTAGCACTAACTATTATTGAAAATGTTCCCTCCTCCCTTTCCTCCCTACCTACCCTGTTTGGAAAAAAAAAAAAAATCCGTGTACCTACCTTTTTTAATTAATTTTTTATTACAGGTACTTATATAGCGCCGTCCATTTACACAGCACTTTACATATATATTGTACATTCATATCAGTCCCTAACCTTCAAGGGGCGTACAATCTAAGGTCCCTAACTCACATTCATACATACACATACTAGGGACAATTTAGACAGGATCCAATTCACCTACCAGCATGTCTTTGGAGCGTGGGAGGAAACCGGAGTTACTGGAGGAAACCCACACAGGCAAAGGGAGAAAATGAAAACTCCAGGCAGGTGGTGCCGTGGTTGGGATTTGAACCAACGACTCTAGTACTGCCAGTCTGCTCTGGCCATTTGATCCCGCAGCTCCAGCTCTCCTTTGACAGAGAGTGGGCAGCTGCAGGGGAGAGGAGGGAGTGTTGACAACAGCTTGTTCGTGGGAGCCTATAGGTGAAGTCACGGCTCTTGGAATTCACAGCGGTTGTCAAGCGCTCCACGGCACAGGGGAGCCAGAGCTGCAGGATCACTTGACCAGACAGGAATAGAAAAGGGAAGTATATAGATCTGTTCTACACATGATTTGGGGGGGTGGATTTGTAGGCGTTAGTATTAGGCTTGAATTCAATTTTAACGTGTAGCTCCATTTTGTTGAACCCCCCCCCCCCCAAAAAAAAAAACAATTCCCCTCTGCATGTACATTGCAAGGACTGTAACAAATGTGGAAAATTTTAACCTTTTTCTGTTCCAAAGAAAAAGAAAAAAAAGATGTGTGTTCCTTTATGTCTTTGCAGGACTGATTCCTTAAAGGATAAGTTCACCTTTGGAACATGCTACATGTTCCACCTGTATTTAGGGTGGAACATGTAACATATTCCAGCTCCTGTGTTCTCTCCTCGATCCCCCCTCTCCCTGTGACAGCAGGCAGGGGATCCTTTCCCTGCACCCATTGTCAGAATTTAAAAAAACAGCTTGGCCATACGGGGCTTTGTCCACACAGCTGCGTCATTCATTCACAGAATTCTGTGGATGGATGAACTACAACTACTGTTTGCCACTGCGGACGATAGCTTGTATTTCTCCATGAACTGCAAGGGTGCTGGTGAATGCTCTCGTAGTTCACCGATTCTCCCTGCCATTCAGTAACTGCCTGTATGGGAGGTACGGGCAGACAGTATACGGAGAGTCCGCAGGATCCAGGAATTGCATGTGCATCAGCTAAGCGCGGGTGCAATGTGCTACAGGTTGCCTTGCAAACAAATAGTAAAGGCACATTTTTTACCTGCAAAAAGATGTGCATTTATTATGGGAGGCTCTTGTTCATTGTAACCACCGGGTGCACTTTTAGCGTTCCGATTAGGAAGGTTGCGATGTCTGCATCCCTTTAGAAGTCATTAAAAGGGAAGTTTGGACTTTTTCTTCCCTCAGTTATACTTACCTAGGTGGATGCTGCATCTGATCGCCGCCGGCTCTAAGTGTGAGAACTCAGCGATCACATGACCACTGATCACCGCTGCTCTGAGCAGAGAGCGGTGACTATCAGCCACTGCTATCTGCTCTGCTCCCCCCCCCCCCCCCACAGTGGTGTGTTTTGGTTTTGTGCTGCCCTAGGCAAAAAACTAATATCGCCCCCAATTCTAGATTTTAAGTGTACAATCCAAACGCACACGTTCCTGCTTTAAAAATGGCTGTGTGTATAAGTGGGGGTGCTGCAGCGACCGTCGGCTGGAACCGAACAGAATCAGCAAGGGAGAATGTCACCAGCACACCGAGGATCACCAATACGGGTCCAAAGGTTTTAGTGAACGATCACATAGTTACAGCAAGGCAACGTTTGGAGTCTCGCAGGACCCCTTCATCAGGCATGTGACGATGTGTGGTCACATGCCTGATGAAGGGGTCCTGAGAGACTCTGAAACGTTGCCTTGCTGTAACTATGTATGTGACCGGGGTTAACTTGTAAAGCCCCCCCCAGTGTCAACAGTCACATACACCTTGTACACCCCCCACTGCTCATACTCACATACACCTTGTACACCCCCACTGCTCATACTCACATATAACTTGTAAAGCCCCCCTGCTCATACTCCCACTGCTCATACTCAACATATAACTTGTAAAGCCCCCCAGTGTCAACAGTCACATACACCTTGTACACCCCCACTGCTCATACTCACATATAACTTGTAAAGCCCCCCCAGTGTCAACAGTCACATCACACACCTTGTACACCCCCACTGCTCATACTCACATCACATACACCTTGTACACTCACATACATACATACCTTGTACACCCCCTTGTACATCCCCACTGCTCATACTCACATAACACCTTGTACACACCCCCACTGCTCATACTCACATACACTTGTTGTACTCACATACACTTGTACACCCCCACTGCTCATACTCACATATAACTTGTACACCCCCACTGCTCATCGACAGTCACATACACCTTGTACACCCCCACTGCTCATACTCACATATAACTTGTAAACTGCTCCCCAGTGTCAACAGTCATCCCATACACCTTGTACACCCCCACTGCTCATACTCACATGCACCTTGTACACCTTGTACACCCCCACTGCTCATACTCACATATAACTTGTAAAGCCCCCCCAGTGTTAACAGTCACATACACCTTGTACACCCCCACTGCTCATACTCCCATTCAATCCCTTACTTATGGATGAGGAGGGGGGTGGGGGTGGATTATACAGCCCCCAGTAGTTACCAGTCACATACACAGTGGAATAGGACCGCAGCGGAGCCGGCCATCCTCAGGGGACAGTTGTCCAGCCCAGGGGAGCTGCAGGAAAATCAACTCGGGAGCCGTTGAGCTGCTCTGCTCTGAAGATCGCTCACACCTACATGTCCCTGCTGCCCCCCCCCTGAAAGATGCTGCCCTAGGCAAATGCCTTGTTTGCCTCACGGTAGATACGCCCCAGCCCCTCCACCTCATTGGAGCGCTGGCCCGTGGAGGGGGGGAGAGAGCGACTGGCTCAGACTCTCAGCGGCTCACTGAAAGGCTGAGCCAGGTGCCGCTCCAGACTCTCAAGTCGGGATCTTTCCCCAGCCTGGGCCGGCTGCGTGGCGTCAGCCGACAGCAACTGAAAACGGGTCACAGGAGTGCAGAACTAACTGCACTCCTGTGATCCACAGGAAAAGTACAGCCAAAAGGGCTTTGGCTGTAGTTCTCCTTTAACCCTTGGGGAGTATCTCACCAAAAATGAAATTCCTATTGAAGAGGAATGCCAAAAATGTGGTTTGTATCTTAGTGCAGGAACCAATCACACAGCAGGAAGTGACATTTGTGAGGGCAATCTGTACAATGGTGCACCAAATGCCTCCCAGTCACCACATTGCATTGATTTTTTTTGAAAAGAAAAAAAAAAAAAAAATTCTCAACGCGTTTCGCACAAGGTTTCATTCAGGAATTCGGAGGAACTGCAACAAAATTACTTGAAATTGAACCCAACTGGTGGTATTCCCGAGTGTAGCTCGGGGTAAAGTTTCAGCACCACAAGCGGTAACCCCGAGCTACACTCGGGAATACACTTCAGCGTTGCTCCGGGATCTCTTCTGCACTTACCCTGTCCTGCGCTCCCGCGATGTCCCTCCTGCAGTGTCCCCTGTAATGTCCTCCGGCCTATGCCGGCATCTGTCTTCTGGGTTCCGTCCCTTGCGACGTCGGGACGTACGGGGGACGGAACTGGCGGGAAATTTAAAAATGTCAAAAAGTGACATTCACTCAATCACTAAAATCACATAGTATAACATTCCTGTATCAAACCATTTCACATACATTTTGTCCCGAGTGCTTTGTCCGGCGCCCTGCCTGCATTTTTACTGTTCCTTCTGCCTGGAAACTGAGAAACGTCCATGGCGTCCAAAAAGCGTCCCTTTAGGTCAAAAGCAGTTTTAGATCGGATAGAGAACAGCGATAGTAAATCAGAACCACTTGCA